GTACATCGGTCCTTCAAATTTGTCCAAATTTTGGGATTTTTCAACATCCCTAGCCTTTTTAGATTACAATTACTTACTCCCGTCCCTTAACAAAATTTAATTGGATATTTAAAGGTAATAATTTTTTATGAGACTTATAAACATGACATGCAAAATATTATAATCAACCACCTCATAAAATTTCTATAACTTTAACTGATGAAACAATATATTTGATGGTGACTAATGTTTTCTGGTGATAATTCTTATGGCTCCTTTCTGTAAAATAAAGATGGGATTTGTAACTGTTTTACATGCTTTAACCCAGACTTCAATACAATATATCAAGTGTGGAACAATTATTGCATTATACAACATAAACAGAGCTTTATCACTGAATAACTCAAACAGAGCTTTATCATTGAAGTAATACATTACTGCAATGGATTTGGCTATTTTTRTTCTTAAGTAATTTATGTGGGGTCTCCATATCAGTTTTTCATCAATGATGACACCTAAAAACTTCACCTCACTGACTGCAAATTTCAACATTATCAACTCTAAATGGAAAATCAATAATTCCCAAGTTTGTATTTTAACAAATTCTGTTTGCATCATTTCCAACAACCGTTCTACCCAAACAAAAAAAAAATGAAGTATCTCTTCTGCAAATAATACATATTTAAAAAGCCCTGATACATTTACAAAATCATTCACATACAAYATWAATAACTTTGKTCCAAGTACAGAACCCTGAGGAACTCCRCRTGTGATGTTACAGAGTTCAGATCTTACATCATTTAATTGAACAAACTGTTTTCAACTTCCAAATAACTAGATACCCACTGTAAAGCTAGTCCTCTTATTCCATATTGATTTAGTTTTTCAAGAAGAATAGTGCTCTGGATATACAGTATATTTGGATTCTGATCACTGGATTCTACAGATTGGCTTGGTGGTCTACTGGTGTTTCTACAAAACAGTGTCGGTGGCTGTTCAGGCCCTTTCCTGGCTGCCTGACCAATATGAAGGATTGCCGTTCTTTCAGCACTCAGACTCAAACCCTGTGCGAGCCGGGACTAGGTCTGCAAGTGGTTCTGCTGAGGGTCGYRGGCTGGCTGTGGTTCCTGGACTTTGCTGGTGAGATGGAATTAATCTTGGAGAAGCTGAAAGCTCGGCTTGGCGAGATTGTCCACACCATTTGTTTGATTGTATTCGCCACCTTGAGATGTACCAGCGAACATTAATGGAAAATTATTATTGTCTGCCTGACCGAAAATATTTTCTTGTGTTCCCAAACAACTGATTACAGATTAGGCTCCCCCCTACGTGGCCTTGAAGAGCTGTGGATTAGGCTGGGCGATATGACCTCAAATTCATATCACGGTATAAACTGAACCCGTTCAAGGTAACAGTATAGAAAACTATCATAAAAAGTAAAGATAATGTAATTTTTGGAGGGTTTTTTTCAGAAAACTAATCTTAATCAATCATTGATCATTTTTGCTTTAATATCAACCTGCCACACAATGAGCTTCTGCCTGCTGAACTTATCAGCTGCTGCTCTGCTGCGCGCTCATCTTCATTATCAGAGCAGAAGCCGACTTTACATTAGAAAGATGAATTTATGACTGAACGAACGTCCACGTCTTTTTTATCTTCTCTGTGGGTAACAATACTTAAAAAACAAGTTTATCTCCAACAACTTGGGTGTGAAAAAACTGTTGTTAAGCTTTGCTCTGCGCGACGTGGAGGGAGGGAAGAAGGAAATTATCTCGACGTAACTTTTCTACAACGGGAGGGGGCAATTTTGAGGATTGTATTCTCTTTACGTGTTTTAAAATGCTATAATTTCTTCATTTTATTTCGAACTCCTCCTGCTCAGTTGTCTCTGCACTCACAGCCCTGTTCACACAGGTGTGATGACGTAATGACGGTAGGACGGTAGAGGGTAAATTTCTACCGTAGGCCAACTTCATACGTTTCTACCGTCTGCCGCATATACCGCGCAGCCCTACTGTGGATCTAGGGTGTTTACGTTGACTGAGGGTTGTTCAAGCGAAAAGCCCACTCTGACATACTGGAAGTCGCTCTCTTCCTGCAGTAYAGGAGGCTACAGCTATAGCTATTGCCTCTGAAATGTTTAAATTATGCCCTGTATGTACACAAAGAGCAGAGCAACACACTTCCTCCTGTTTCAACCCTGGGTCACAACTTTATTTAACTCTGGTGAATTAACATTATACAGCTTGTTCTGGGCACTCGTGCGTTCGGCATTACACACATACACACCCAGGACCGTTACCTGCTCAAAATACATAGGAGATCAGGATCTCGTAATTATGACACATTAATTTACTGACTTTTTGTGCCAAGTTTAGAATGTAAAATATAAATTCTAAACCACTGTTTAGATATGGCGAATGAGAAACATAATAAAACTCTTTAACTTCTTCAGGTTCAATAAAAACTGTAAGTTTAAACAGTTTACATTTAGTTTAGATTCTAAATGTTGTTCTGTCCAGTCCTTCATAATAATAAGGACCTTTGTCGGCTGTAACATCAGTCACAGAGAACGGTGTTAAAGAGGCAACAGCCTTCCTACAAGCTAAGCTAATGGCTAACCAACACAGCAGCCTCTGCAGCAATGACTTACAGTCTGTGCTGCACACACACACACACACACACACACACACACACACACACACACACACACACACACA